TATTGTTTTGGGAAAACAATTGTTAAATCTCAGTAATTTTTAACAAGGTTATACAAGGTTTTTATTAATTTTGGAAAACGCCCCCCCCCCCTGCCCCGGGGCCTGTATAGCCTGAATAATTTGAGAATACAGTAACTGTTTTTAAAAAGCAAAAGGAGTGATTGGAGGCGTTGACTTTTGCCCCTGATGACAGCTTGCATTCCTGTATCTATTGAGAGAGGCGACAATTGTAGAAGGAGACACTTTGCTAAGCTGCACAACCCCAGCATAGGTAAAAGTCACTCTCTCCTACAATGGTTATCCTGAAGATAACAAGCAAGTCTTCATCAAACAACAATTTCAGATGGCATTATCAAAGCTTTAATGCCACAAAGAGCTTACCACTCTATTAAATATCCCCTTCTCTTTTACACGCTTGTTTTCTTTTACTTATCCTCCTCCTTAAAGGACAATAATATGGATCCTGCCAACTCACACAACTTGCAGCTCATTTTTATTGTTAGTTTTCTTCATTTCTTGGTACTTGATTTTTTCCCCCAATGATCCAGCATGGTTCTTGTTCTGATCCACTAAAGCAGAACTACATATCAAAAGAGATCATCCCACCTATTTTGTGTTCCTCGTTCTACCAGAAGTTTTAACTTGCGAGCAAGAGTCACCTGTTTCTCTTAAAATCCTCAGCTTGCAGTTGAACATGCTCCCTGTCCCTGAGCCAGGAAAGCTATCCCACAGCGAAACAAAGCCAGCACAGTCATTCAGATAATAAATACGTATTTTAAATATTAAAGAAATTAGGCAGAACAAAAATATGGATGGGTAATGTTCAGTCAAGATTGATTTGAAGTCACTTGCTAGCAAATGAAAGGCCTCAGTTCCCTGACAAAAATTAATTTTTTCCTAATTGTACATGTATTGATCTGATTAATGCTCAGTTTTGATGGTTTTCTCTTCTTTTCCTTCCTGAACCCCTATTCCATGCAGAAAATCCCTCTCTCTACTTCCCTATTTCTGTGGTTTACATGACTCCAACTCACCTGCTATATACTTGATCATTCCTTTTACTTTCCTTTCATGCCTTTCATGCCTTTCTTTTCATGATCTCAAGCCTATGTGGCTAATTCTTTCAGCCTAATGGGAAAGGGGATGGGGGCTCCTGTAGTGCTCCAGATGTTGCTCCAACCACCATGGCCAACAGGGAGAAGTTGGAAGTTATAATTCAACGGCATCTAGATGACTATAGAGTTCCCATTTCACTCTTATATCTTTATGCTAGGAGCAACCATCTTATCTGGGTCTGGCCTTTCCATCCTGTTCCCCCTCCAGCTGAAACCTTTTAAGATTTTATAAATTTATACAAAATCTCACAAGGTTTTATGAGTTCATAAGATCACAGACATCTTGAAGATTTTATAATCCCTTCCTATATTAGAAATTTTTAATATTAATTTGGAGGCCACAGGAGCAGCGTTTGGAGGGGATCTTCGAGGGCTCTGTTCCCACAATTGGATTTATGCTCTATTTTCTCTAGCACAGGGATGCAAAACATGAAGATTCAGGAGCATGTGCCCACAAGATTCAGGAGCATGTGCCCATCCATATGCACAGTTCCCAATATTGCACTTTTCAATAGGATTGAAAGAGAAAAGAAATAATGCACTTGGGGAGTAATCCTATTAATTTTTATTGTAAACCGCCCAAAGTCACTTCCTTGTGAGATGGGCGGGTGTCTGAATTCGAAATATATATATATATATATTTATTTTAAATATTTTAGGATTATTTGATGGAAACAAAAAAGATTTGTTTGTATGGTTTTATTTTGAATGACAGCTTACATAGTGTAGTGGTTAAGGTGTCAGACTAGAACCGGGAAGCCCAGTTTCTAGTCCATCCTTAGCCATGGATGCTCAGGAGTGGCCTGTCTCTCAGCCCAGCCTACTTCACAGGGTTACTGCGGGTGAAAATTGAAATAGGGAATACTATGTATGCAACTTGAGCTCCTGACAAAAGGCAAGGAGTAAATCAAACAAACAACTAATTAAAAATAAATACTGTTAACCTTATCACACTAACCAAGGCTTCTGTGTGAATGTTATGGGAAATACCTTCCCTTTCTCTAAGATTAGGAGGAAATATTTTTAAGGCTTCACATACCTGACTCATGCATTGTATGCTCCTCCAGTACGGATACTTCCCCTCGACCCTCTTTGGTTTCCGCCCACAAGGAGAATTTATAGGGAGTGTGGGGGTCAAGGTCGCTGAGATTGAGGCTTAACTGGGTGGGTGGGATGTGGATGTTGCTGATGTCCACCTCTGTCTGATTGGCTAGGCACAAGAAGGCAGAAGAACAACAGGTCAATTATCAGAAAATGATGCATGCCATTGTCACCCAACCTGCTGTCCACAGGTGATGGACTTCCTTTCCTAGAACCTTGTCAGCGTGGAGAATGCTGGTATCATGCAAGAAAATGCAAATCCTGTTGCTGAGTAGGCAGTGTTCATCAAACATAAAACAGGTAAGAAGGAACTGTCTATTAGGGGCAGGGAAGATGAGAGAGATTAAACATGGAATCTGATTTCTAGCACATTGTGGCAAGAATCTCTGCATGCTAGCTGGTGATTCTTGTCACAATATACTAGAAATCAGGTTCCATTGTTAATATCTCTCCCATCTTGAGGGTCTATAAACCCCTTCGGATTCAGCAGAAATACTGAGCGTATTTCTATATAATTATCTACCACTGAAACCAAAGGAAGTGAAGAAAGACGTTTGAGTTATGTGTAAATGTCTGTAATAAAGCTTCTCCTCTTCCTTTTCTACTTCAAATTGTCGCTTCTAGAAGTGGTTGTGATGCTGTGGCACACATTCTTTTTTAAAACACGCCTTCCCCTTTTAAAAAGGTACCTTTATCTGGATTGTGTCTGTGGCTTTTCAACTGCAAGAAAATAAGTGCAGGAGATTCATCATGAGATAGAAAGTCATGGCAAAGAAGACTCAAATCAGGAGGGTTTTCTCTGTTAAGCAGGTATAACAAGCAGTCTCAGGCTGTATTCCTGCATTATTTTATTTGAAAACAAATTCAATGGGGGATTGGAATAAACATTTGCAACTATAGTCTTATGCCTAACTAATTAGGAATAGGATTTATTGAATTCAGTGAGATAGGTTGCTGAATGAAATAGTAGAGGGTACAGCTGGAAGCAGCATATGATCCATCTACAATCTAGAATCCTAGTTGCATTGACTGGTGACATCTAGGGCAGAGATGACAATCCATGGCTCATGTGTGCCTCCCACCATCTACAGCCCATGGATTCCCAAGATTGTGCATGGCCATTAAGCAGTACAATTTTCATTCAATTTGAGAGGATGGCAGTTTTAATGGTAGGAAGGGAAGACAAGGCTTCCATGATGCAAACATCCATTCCTATCCTTAAAGTCCTCCTCCAAGCCCAATGTTTTGTGAAAAATGGGACAAAACTTTTCAGCTCTTCTCCTCTCAGAAGTTTCACTGTGGCACCAGAAGGCCTTCTGCAGTCTACCAGTAGATCAGGAGTATGAACTCTGGCCCCTGATTAAGGAGAAGCTTCCTACCACTGACCTAAGTTATCAGATGCCAAAAAGCGCCCCTGTGCCTTAATAAGGGTCTTCTTCTTGCACAGCTGTCTTCTTTTTTTACCTGGCTACCCTAGGGCAAGTGAAAGTATACCCCACTAAGCCCATAATATGAAGAGGAGAGCATAAAATCCCACCAAAACAATATAGAGGCCTTCAAAGTTTCACTCTCCAATTCTGCCCAACTAGGAAATGGGTACTTTGAATCCTGTACAAAAAGAACATGCATTATTGCATTATTGACCAGGTCTTTGAAAAAAGAGCAGATGAAAATCTTCAGTCAAAATGGATCCCCCACCTCAAAGCATACAAAAGAAATATAAGGCAAAAATGCACAGATAACCAACAGGATCTGCATTGTGTAAACTGCTTTGGAGGGTTAGTGTTGGGGAATTTCCTTTCTTGAAGGCTTTCCCAGTTGGATTTGCACACATGTTGAAGCTTCTGCTGGGGATATATTAGTTATGGAATACCCTGTAGACAAGGCTAGCTGGTCACTGAAACTCTTCCAGTGTTATAGGAAAGTTGCACTGCACGCTTGCCCATTCCACTTCCTGTAGAGAGAATTGCACAATAGCAGAGAGGTCAATGTTTTAAAGGAGGAAGCAAGCACCACTCAGTTGCTTACCAATATCAGGGAGAAATGTAGCTGAGCAGGAAAAGAGGGGGATCAATAGTAATAGTCGGAGTCCATACTGAGAGGGATGGAGGAAGACCAGGAAGGCCATTGCAGCAAGTGAGTTCTACTTAAGAAACCCAAACCCACTGACTATTATTCTTTCCTACTGATGTATACTGGAAACAACAGACAAACCAAAGGAAAGCTGGAACATATATCCACGCATATGAGACTCTGAATAAATTAAAGAATTGGAGCCCCAAGAGATGTTTTAATCAATCCTTATTAAGGGTCAGGATATTGCTACAGAAAGCAAAACTCTAAAAGTAAACAGCTGATTAAATAGATGGTGTCTTCTGAAAAGGGTCAGATGTGGATGGGATGTACTATATTAACATTTTGAACTCACTGGTAAAGAGGTAAGGTGAGCCTCACGGGGATTAGGAGAAATACGTTTGTCAAGAGCCTAAGAAACTTAATCAATAGCATTTTGACCTGACTTCTGAGGGAACGTCAGACATCCAAAACTAACTGCAGGGCCAGGCATTAGAGATAAAAGGATGAGTGACAAGAAGATTTCCAGAAATGTCCACATGAATACACCAGACAATCCAAGAATAAGCAATACTGATGGGCTACAATATCTATATGCACAGATTATAGGAAACAAATAAGAAGAATTTGAAATCTTAATATGGAATGGTATCATCATCATTATGGATATCATTTAAGTTCATGATTGAAATTTAGCAACTGAATTGTAACCTGCCTCAAAAGGAGGAGAACCAAGAGAAAGGGAAGAGAGGGAGATTTATAGGTAAAGAACGTGACAGCATCATTTTCAGTCATTTTGAGATTGGAAACATATGCAAACTATAGTTAAAGATCTGAAATATGACAGTTAAAGTCTAAAGATGTGTCCCCCCCCCCCCGCCCCCAGTTTCACACATATGCATAATGTGACCTCATCCACTTTGGGACCCTCAGACCTCAAAAAACATGAAGTCTGGCCACTGGTCACCAAAAAGCATTCATCCCTGTAAAAAGGGTTCCCACCATATCCTTATTGAAGATGCTAAAATAGAAACTGGATGCTGTTGGTAAGCGATCCACTACTGGTACCATTTACCATGGCTAGCAAATGATGGTTTGGAACTGTTTGCAAGATGGAGCAGAGGCCACAAGGCTCAGTCCTAGGTTCTCTGATCTTCAGCCTTTTCATGAATAACCCAGATAAGGGTATAGAAAAGCTGGTGAAATCTTCTTTGAAATAAGCTGGCCCCTGGAGATTATCTTGACATATCCATTTCATTTTCTTGTCAACATTATGGAATTGGTTTGCCATTGCTGCCTGCCAGAATGTCTTTCTACCTTCCTGTCTAGCTCACAGACCTCAGAAGTTCCCTGTTATATTCCATCCAAATACTAACCAGATCAAAAATCTCAGTGTTGCCACCAAGCAACAACATTATAAAGGGAACGATAATGAGTTCTGAAAATGAAACATGGCTGTAAGATTCCATAACACTATGGAAGATGGAATCTAATTTTAAAAATTCTTAACAGATTGAAATAGTGGGCTGAACCCCAAACCAAATTCAGAAATAAAATTTAATGTATGCGCTTGTGTACCAAAAAATCAAAGATGTAAGAGTGGGCTGGTAGAGAACTGTCTTGGCAATATGTATGAAAAGGAATTAGATGCCTTAGCAACTCACAAGAAAAATATGAGCCAGCAGTATGATACAGTGGCTAACAACAGTAATCTGATCATAGGTTTTAATAGAAGCAGAGTGCCTGGATGTAATCATTTTGCTTTCAGAACACTATGACCCATTCTGGCGCCACATATTTTACTAAGTTGTTGATACATGAAAACCAGCATGATGAGGATCCTGGAAACCAGTCTTTGGCTTGAAGAAGGATTGAAAGAAGTGGTAAATTTAGCCTATAGGACACAAAACTAAGGGGAACATGTTAGGATTCTTGAAATAACTGAAAGACTGACTTGCAGGAAAGAGGGCAGAATTGTTCTGTATTACACCAGGAGGTAGGATCGCAACAATCGGGTGGAAACTGTGGAAAAGTAAATTTCAGCAAAATGTCAGGGAAGTATTTGACCCGAGATGTGGTGGCTCTCCTTTGTGGGGATTTCTAAGTACGGGCCAGATAGTCATCTCACAGGGGTTGGACTGGATCACCTTCAAAGGTCCTCTGACTCTATCATTATGGATGTAACCATCATAATCACTCAAAGAAAGTTACAGTAATAATACAGCAGCATCCAAAGCAACTTGCCTAAATATAAAACGTGTGTGAGAAATTTCCATTCAAGGTTCCCAGCATGCTGTACCACAGACCCCTGAAAAACCCACAACTTTTACAGACTCACCTTGCTGGTATCCCAACACGTATCTCAGTAATTTCCCATTAGGGAATTTTGGAGGCATCCATTCTAGCAACACTGCTGTCTCCGAGAGATAGTCCAACTGAAAGGATTCAGGGATGCTAGGTACTATGTAAGGAGGCAAAGAGAAATGGAGAGTGAAGGACACAAGGGATATATCTGGAAGAAGAGGGTTATAAATGGTAATGGGAAGAAAACTGTAGTAGACAGGGCAAGGTCCAGCTCTTTGGATGCTCCAAATAGATACTAATACTTGGAGCAAACTCCCATTAGCAAGAACAAGCCCATTAAAATAAAAAATCTGTCTGTCTACCATTAACAGAGCATTCATCACACAATCCTTAATTTACCTACCCTGTCTGCCTCCTTAGTATTGCAGCCAAAGCTGCAACAGAGCTCTTGATGGAATGAAATCACTGTTGTTCTGAAGAGAAACTGAAATTATCCTACAGTACAATGGATGGGAAACCTCAAGTCCCATAGACAAGTATTCTGGAGTCCTTTTTTTAACAACCTAGAGTCTTTTTTGACTGCACTGCTGTACTGCAATTTTCTGCCACTGTGAGGGTGGAAGATAGAGAGCTAGAGATGTAATGTAGTGTTGTGTCATGCAGTTCAGTATAGCATATCTGTACTACGCGACACGACACGACACTAGATGTGCCTATCATATGCATGCAAATTGGGAGCGCTTGCTGAGGATTGCCAGACCACAAAGATTGAGGGGTCCTGGATTCCAGGAACAAATTTCTATGCCAGCCCTAGCCCAATGAAACAGCTTGACCCCTGAGATCAGGAAAGTGGTGGTTCTGTAATCTTTTAAGGTTAAAAAAATTAAAGATTCTTTTCCATAGAACAGTGTTTCTCAACCTTAGCAGCTTGAGGATGGGTGGACTTCAACTCCCAGAACTCCCCAGCTAGCATTTGAAAAATAGGTTGTCAACCCAAGGGCCTCGCCTTATCTCTAGCTGTTGTTTTTAGTGGTTTGCATTTTTATTGTTATGCTTTTAGGATTTGTGGGTTTAGTAAGGATTTTAGAGGTAAGCCACCAAGAGTCTATGATTGAGGCAGCATATAAATGATGCTAACTAACTAAACTTTACTGACACAAAGAAAAATCTAATTTCCTCCAATCCAGAAAAATCCAGCTCTAGCCACATGCTCACAAATATAATATAACCTGCCCACTTTCTATTATCACTCCTCCTATTGCATTGCTCTCCCTCAATGCATTTTTTCACAATCCCTAAAAGGTTGCCCACACCTACTATATTATTATTGCTGTATAACAGTAGTAGTAGTAGCAGTAACAGTAATAGTTTTTTCCCCTCAATATTTACCTAGTGCAAACTTTCACTTTTAAGACAAGTTATGTTTAAAGGCAAAAGTTGTCACAAACTGGTTGTGACATTGATTGATTGATTGATTGGGCAGGGGAAGCTGTGGTTGATGGAGGCTCAATTTAATTTAATTTATCTGATTTAGGCACCTCCCGACACCAAACAACAGATTTATGCCTGAAACACTGTTTCCCTGATTGTATTACCATTTTTTCTCAGGGAGTTAAGATGCCGTAACTGGGATTTCCAAATAGGAAATCAGTAGAAAGTTGGGTGGCCCTGGACTTGCTTCGTTTCAGCACATCCCACGCCTTTCAGACTATATACCAGGACCTGGTTTGCGAGCCAAGAATTTCTCTGCTTGCAGCTCACAGTTCAACTCTTCTACACATTCTCTCTGATATCCTGCACATGGGCTACCAAATCCAAGTTCTGAATAAAGTAAAGTGGATGGAGAGAGCTTCTAGGAGTAGGAGCAGAAGTTGGGAAGAAGTTCAGAAGGTGCATGGAGGGGAAGAGACAGTGGGAAAGGTCTGCGGGCGAAAGGCAGCAGGTTCTTACCTCCCTCGGGTGTCACAAACTCCATGGCCTCGCTGCGGGGCCCCTCCCCCCGCCCATTCAACACAGCCAGCTGAACCTGGTACCGGCTCCAGGGCCTGAGGCCCCCCAGTGTGACTTCAGACACATTCCCCAAAATCAGCAGTTCCCCGTGGGAGTGGAAGTGAAGATGGGCCTGTCGACGGCTACGTTCTGCCAGGGTTCCCAGCCTGGAGTAATACACCTGGTGAAGGTGGAATTTCAGAGACAGAGAAAGAGAGAGGGAGACATTATTTGCCCAGATTCCAGGACACCCACCTCCACCTCCACCGGCTCACTCAATTTTGGCAAGTTTTTTGAAAAATGTCTCTGATCATGAGCGGAATAGGTCACTCCTCCCCTCCAAAATGTGATGGAAGAGGGCCTCTGAGCATGTAAATAATTACTTCTCCTTCTTATTTTGTAAGAATAAAAGGCATACAAGGCCAAAATGCTTTTCAGCATGTATTGAGTGTTCCCTTCCCTGAAGGACACCTTTTACAAGAAATCTGTCATAAAAAGCAGGGAAATGACACAAACAAAACGTATAATTTCTGACTTTACATTCAGTTGTAATTCTAGCCTGGTCAGTAAAATTCTGGCCGAATGGCAGTTCTATTCAGAGTCTTGTTGAAGTCCCACAGGCCAGGGTTTACCCTGAGTTTAAAAAACAAAAAATTAAAAGGCAATTCTGCAGCAAGTCAGTCTCAGTTCTGCACCATAAGCATCTGCATCCTGTCACCTGTGTAGATATATTATACCTGAGGACTCTCCATAGTTCTTCTTACTTGGTGAAATTTATTCTGCATCACTTGACTTTTTACCTTATTTATTCTGGTTTTACTATTTGGAAATGCAATATTGTAATAACCTGGGAATTTGTATGAAGGACAAGGTTTACATTAATTCTGGCGGTACAGGTTTCTCCCGCCCACCCCCAAACCTGGAGCCTTCCAAATATTTTGAACTTTAACTCCCATAATACTCCTGCCAGTCTGGTCTTTGAGGATTCAAAGAGTAGCACTATCATATCTAGTCAAGCACGAGATAATATTCTTCGCTGCCATGTAGCAGTAGCCCAGATTTATGCAGCCCATGAAAGTGTCAAATTCCAATATATCTGGAGGGCACCAAGTAGGTTAAAAAACTCTTCCAATGCTGTCCCTCAGGATCCAATGCAAAGTTCTTGTGCCATACCTTGAATCCCTTGAGGTGTCCCCAGATTTTCTCTCTGTTGGGAAGGATCCAAGAAAGCTTGATGGTAGTGCTGTTGATCATCTCAATCAGCAGATCCTCCGGGACAGCCTCAGGCACTGGGGGAAAGAGGGGTCCTTTACTCTTACCGTTTCCGCAAGGAAGGAAGAAGAGTTGAAAGTTCAACCTGGCAGTTCTACAAAGGGAAGTGGCACTGGGAATTCTGCAAGTGTCAAGACTCCAAAACCCCCAAAGAAAGCCATACATAAGAGGGGGGGGGGGGAAATCCACATATGTTGGGCAAGTTCCTCTGTTAGGATAGTTCCAAATCTCACAGAATAGTAAGCAAGCTTTTCAGTTCTAAAATATGCTTTATCAAGTTGGAAGCCAAGCAAAGTTGGCAAAGAGAAAAAAGGCTCAGAAGTGGGCATTCCCATCCTTCTGAACAGTGCAGAAAAACTCCTTCCTGCCAGCATAGGACAGACAGGAGAAAAAAGCTGGAGTGTCACTGAAGGCAAAAAGATACATTAATTTAAGATGAAGTGGTAGAACAAATCTCTAATTTACTGTGCAATATTACAAATTATTACTAAGGAACCTCCCATTGAGTTGAGCTAAGTAGGTTAAACATTGGAATGTTAATTGGGTCAAGGTTTCCCAGGACTACATAAATTTCAGCTTGGACCTTTGGGGAAATTTGAGTTGGGACTGCTGGCTGAACAAGCCGACAGTAGCCTACCCCCAGTTTAGAAAAAATAAAATCTAGCAATTCCAAGAACCTGTCTCCAGTAATTTTTTATTTGTGTACTACCAAGATGACTATGGTGTTGAAAGCAATACATTCATTCCATCCTCAAAGACTTCTGTATGCCTAAACTATCCAATTATGCAGGAGAATGACTGTTGGTGTAAACTGTTGCTCATCTTTCTGGGAGTTTCTGCTGGGTATGAGTGGGAGATAAATCCTGCTCCATTTGTTTTACTGAATGGTAAAACCACTCCCAGTCCGACAGAGCTACCTGTCCTTGAAGGAAGCAAGACATTATAGGAGGAGAGCCACAATAGACTATGGTATCCAAAAATCAGGAGAGGTCTGGCAGCACTTTTCAAATTAACAAGCCTGCAAGGATGCTATCAGACTTCTTCTGATTGGAGGAAGCAAGAGTAACTCTTTGGAACGCTATTTAGAAAATAACTCTTACATAAACATGGGAGGTGGGGGATCAAAGGTAATCACAACTTTTCTCATTTTCAAAAATAAACATTTTCAGAGATAGGGATTTAAAAAATGCCTCATCTATCAGAAATGAGGGGAAAATGGAAATCTTATATCCAGAGTGGGGAGCATGATAGCACAACAATATTCTACTGAATTGTTTAAAGATGGAGGTCAGAGCTCAGCACCTAATTTGGTTTCCCACCACTGTTGGCACTGAAATAATCTACATTAGCTCCTCCCAGATGACACCTCCAGATGTGTTGGGATTTAAAATCCCATAATTTGTAACATAGCTGAGTTTTGTTGAAACTGCGGGCATAATGTTAAAGGATTCCTCATTACTTACCATCCTCCCCTGAGTAACCTTGTTCACTTTGAGGTTCAGGCCCTTTGCCAAAATCATTGTGGGCCTGCACCTTGATCTCATAGGGTGAGAAGACAGGGGTATCTGTCACCACCACAGGAGGGGCTTCAACTTCCATCTCTTCCCATTGGCCTTCATTCTCTAGCCGCCACTGCACGCGATACCTCAGTGTTGGGGCATTCCACTCCTTGTGAGCCAAGGGCTGAAATAAATAAGGCAGGAGGAAGAGAAGGAGAGAAAATGAACAGCAATGCTGGGTGTCAGAAAGGTTTCACTGAATAAGAACACTCTTACAGAGCTCTTTCCACTGTCAGGTTTTTCAAGCCCTTCTGATGCAGGCCAGGAGACCATTTTCACTCCTGCATAACAACAGCAAAACAAAACTGTATGTTGCCATCGAACAGGGAAAGGCAGTCTGGTGCCCTACTGATTAATTTGGACTTTTACTCCTAGTTGCTCCAGCCAGCATGGCAGGAGAATTGTGAGAGAATACTGTTCAAAATGAAGGTGGGAACTTTTCACCATCTCTTGCCATTCTAGAACTCTGGGTCACCTAAAGAAGACGAATGGTGAAAGATTTGTGACAGACTAAATAATATGCGACGTGCAGCACACAGTGCATGGATTTTGCTATCATAAGAAAAAACAATAGCTATCAACCCAATTGCCCTTAGTAAGGTATTAGAAAAATCAATGGGGGATAAGCCTATCGATGTCTATTCGTCCCAATATTTTCAAGATCAGACGGAGTAGGCCTCTTGATACTAATTGCCCAGGAACACAAAGAGAAGGTTTCTTTTCTTCTTCTGTCTTGTCGGTGACCTTCCTGGGGCATTTGAAACATTACGAAGTTGATCCCTTTATCATTAACTAGAGAGCACTAGTATAAGATGCGATGATTGGCAGGTGATTACTTGTTTGGTCAGCTTTTTTTAAAAAAGTAAATTCATGGAAGGGATCAATTAGTTGTGTTTATGCATAACAGGAAAGTCCAGATTGTTTAAACCATGGCGGCCTTGTGTATATATAACAAAGCCCTAATGAATGGACTCATACATCTTGCTTAGCTTAAGTCAAATCAGTCGCATTATAGCTTAGCACGATATGTGAGCCCACCCATCCTCTTGATAGTAGCTTTCAGTAAAAACGAAAAATGGGCCACGACTTCATGGAAAGCAAGATAAGGAATATCTGCTCAGAAGAGTATGGAGTTCTCCTGATTGATGCACCAATGTGATTGCAATCAAAGATACTATCTCTGAGGTCAGCAGGTGCATACAAATAGGCATTGCAGGTTTCCACAGCTGTGCTGTTAAAAGAATGAGAAACGTAAACAGACTCCATGTTGGAACTGGGTGCAAAGGGGCAGCACTCCATCACAGGCAGAATAAAGGATATCGATTCAACAGATCTTTGAAACATTTAGCTGTGCAAGAAGATGGTATAACCTGTTACAGGAACATATTCAACTGAATTAGCTGTGAGACATACAACCAAAGAGATGACAAGTTTAGACGTTTTTTCTTTAGGCAAAAGAAAAGCAGAAGAATCACTGACATATTACAATTTTTATAGCAAACTTAGAAATAAAAGTCCATCGTAAGGGCACAGGATTTCCTAGGAATTAGCAACATGACCTTCTAGATGAACGTCTTATAGGAGAAACCATGCTATCAAATGGAGGCCTCGGAGGTCTGTGTAATATATCCTGCTTTGTCCTTGGAAAATAAGTTTTCTTCAAATATCCACAGAAAGTCCCAGTGAGAGAGGCAACCTTTAGTTGCCTCTGCCACTGTGGGGTTATTAGAATGCATAGCAATAGTGGCTGGAGAAGGCAACAGTAAATCTTAGTAATGAGAGGGATTAGAGGAAACACATATAAAAGTGACTTAATCCAGTAATCGGCCATCTGCCAATTTCTGATCTTGAACAGAACGTCAGACACTGCTTGTTAGTAGATGCAAACAGACGCAGACCGAGCAGAAGAGGAGAAGATTCAAGGCTTCAGACTAGGGCATCCATTTGTGGGATGATTTGTTTCCAGCTTAACATGGCTGCCTGGCTTGCAATGTTACCAATGCAATGTCTCCCTGAATGCATCCATTTCAAAGATCAGTAGTTAAGCAAAGCAGAAACTGAGACCGAGTTCCAATCTGTTGAAGAACCACAGATATAACTGAAGCAGTGATGTTCTGAAAGGTAATTTTGGGAACCTAGTAGTTTGGATGTAGGAGTTTAGGCCTCTGGTATCCAGAACTGAATGGGTATCCCCATCCTTTGGAACAATGCAGTAAACCCCCTTACTGCCAACATTGGGTAGACAAGAGAAATTGCTCACTGGCACAATAACTCTTTCCCTGTAATCATTCATTGGGTAAGATGGGAGACTTTTATAAAACCCTGGGGCATAGCCTGACCTGATAACTATGAAGACCCAGAGCCCAATGACATGGACTTTCAGACAGACGTGTGGAGGAAAAGCAAGGGTCCAGTGCACACAAATTCTGGGACCTGCTGTTATCTGTGGAGTCTTTCGGGTTCTCTGAGCTTGGTTGTTTTCTTGCAGACGTTTCGTTACCCAGCTTTGTAACATCTTCAGTGCTACAAGGGAGTGAGGTTTCCTCTCTGTTTATATATAGTAGCTTGGCTTGCCAAATACCTCTTCTCTTGATATTTGTATCTATTCCTGTTTAGAGGATGTTGTTAGAATGGTCTCTGGAATAGTCTCCAACCCAAAATGGAGATGTACAGGGTGAAGATGTGGAAACTACAACCTAAAACCAAAAGCTGCTAGACTGAGATCATGGTTGAATTGTTCCCAATTACCTTTATCATTGTCAATTTCTGCATTTGATCCAGCTCTCATCATTAATGGTAGGTCCTCCCCCTCTCCACATGCTTCCTGGGTCAGACCCACACAAATCAACGTCAAGCATACTGAGAAGTGTGGCAGCAACCATCAAGAGGCTGGAGCTACAATCTGCTAACCTAGGCATGTGTTCTGTTTTGATAATACAGAGACTTCCACAATATTAATGTGAGTAACATCCCACTTGTTTTAAAGAAAGTGGGCCAGAAGGGATGCCAACTTCTTTCATAGAAAAGCTGGTATCAAGCTGAACACACATCGTTTGATTCTGAAAGCAAGTATCTCTGTAGAATATGACTTGTTGATTATCATTCAGCTGATAGATCTTCTAATCAACTGAAGCAGTAAGTGACCATTCCTATTGTTCAAATAAGAAGGACATTTATCATTTAAATTAAATTAAGTTAAAATATAATTTATATTATTTATAATATATGGTTTATATTATACAGGTTCTCCAACTGTCAAGATGTGGGTTGCATGAAGGATATAGCCAAGCCATTTCATAACTAATGTAGGCAGAACTTGGAGTATAGGCAGAATCTGGAGTATAGTTAGAGCATTGGTTGAAAGTTCTGTTGGAACTCAAAAGCATAATCTAAGAATGATAACTGTTTCACATGAGGGCTATTTTTCTCCTCTAGAGAGAATGTAGAATGTAAGTCTCTGACTTCTGGGCCAGAGATTATAATGAAAGGTCACCAAACTGTGATGAGCTTGCATCAAAGTTGAAGGGATTAGAACTTTGGGGCAGACCACTGGGTTGATCGGACCCCAAATTCTGGAGGTTTAGTTTCCAATGAAGCAGGATCCATGGAACGTAGAGGAAGAGTTATAAAAGGGGGGTGTCTTACCAGAATTTTGTACCAATGAGATGTGGGTGCAGAAGACAAATTCTTACCCTTTGGGTGCTGTTCCAGATTGCAAGTACCTTTTCCAAGAAAGATTTTCATAGTGCCTTCATTAAGAAGACTGAGCTGAGAAAGTCAGGATTACAGGAATTTTAGCAATTGAATTATTATTCATACAGAACTAATTTATCAGCTGACCTAAAGTATCTTAGGAGGGGGATTTACCCCATTTCTTCTTAACTACTTTTCTGTAAAGTATTGAGGAGGCAGGCACCCTTGCAGATAATGGATAACTTTACAGTTAAGTTTACCAAATCAGTTCCTGAATCTAAATCAACCTGTGACCTAATCCTCACACAAATAAGTGGGTATTTCAGATCTGCAGGAAGCAGGATCCTGGCCGGCAGATCAGATAGTGTAGTATTTCATATTTCCTCTGTCTTGGTGATGGGAATGTCGGCTTCCAATATCTATAGCAGAATGGAGGCAGGTATCACTCACAGTAAGCTAGATAACTGAGCCCATCCTATCCAAATTCCTGGAAAAGTGAATAGCATTTTAAAAATACACCCTCTCTAGCTCAGAATAGAGACCAGAACATTCCAAAGTAGTGTTCAACTCAATAATATGATCTTTGATGGCAATGATACAAAAACCATGAGTCTGAAGAATCATGTTGCAGCAAAGGATTCCAGAAGGTGGCAGATTGAGAGCAACAGGTCAATCTATTGTATTTGGTCTTTGATCTTCTATCTCTTTATCACCTCTTCCTATGCACAATCCAGAATGTCCACTCCTGATTTTTCTTGTAACAGTGAGAATCATGGCAGCAGCAAGCTGTCAAACCGGAGATAATAAAGGGATGATGAAGTAGAATATGCTGCTTTTTCTTACCTTGGATTCATGGCTATCACTGGCTGTGATGTCAGGCTGTTTATGTGGATAGAAAAGGACAACGGGAATCCTGCTTCCTTTTCATTTTTGGTTGGCCCATGAAGCAAACCTAGATGTGTCACCATTGACTGTATTGTGTTTGGAGGAGAGATAGAGAGTGGCCAAAGATAGATGGGAATACCAGGGAAGAGGCAACTATTGCCTTTGGGATTGTGGTTACTGTGATTGGTTGATTGACTGATTGTCTGTCTGACTGATTGATTAATTTACAATAATTTGTATGCTGCCTATTCTCCAGATTCTAGTTGCCTGTGCCTTTGGTGTTTGTATTTTATGTAGGGCAAACCTGTATAGCATTGAGCAGACCTGCCACTGCCCACTGCTACTAATGGCTTTCTCCATGTCCCCAAAAATAAAAACTAGGAAAACTGGAGGGAAAAAAAGAGAAGTGTTCCCTCAGTATTTCAGGATATGTGTTGAGAATTCTTCTTCTTCTGATGATGATGATGATGATCATGCAGCTACAGAGAAAAGGCAGAAAATGTGAGCCAGGTGCACACGCATGAGCAGATGTATTTCCTGCCCCAAACATGACCTCAGGCAGTCACTCATGTGTATAGGCCTATTGCCCCTTATACATGCAGACTATCATAAGAATCATAGCTTACACTGAAACAATGTCCAATTGCCCAGTGTAACTTTCTCTATGTTCCTGTCCTACCTGAAGTAGCAACAGAGAGACCGCTGACAAAATGGAACAGTTGGTGCAGGGGGGATGAGGCAGCCCAAAGTGTTTCATGCTTGTTGTTTTTAAAAGTATACTTTCACAATCTGTACATTGAACAGGAGAGAACGGCAGTGTGCCACTGCCCTTTTCCTTTATTGAACATCAACCCGAGTAGTCCTGTCATGACCAATCGCTTGCCTTAGGTAGCTACCCAACTGGCCATCTAAGCAAAAGATGTGTTCATTTTCCATCTCTTGATTCAACAGGAGGTAAGACAGCAATGGCCAACTCTGAAAGTAAGACCCCACACAGAGAAAAGATTGAGGAAACCATGCATTAGAAGCATCGCATGTCTCCAAAGCACCAGCAGATAAAGGCCCAAAGATAGAAGAGATGGGGGCCTGAAAAAAGCAAAGATCTAATAATTAGGGCTGTTGCCAAATTTTCTTCAGGGGCCGTTTTTCTGTGCTTTCAGCCAATGCCTAAAGGAAAATTAAAGTTGGCTATTACAGTTCTCAGGTGTAAACATCTCTTCATCAGATGCAAGACTTACTTTTTGTCTTCTGCCCAAAAACCAAACAAGCAAACAAACAAAACTTTTTAAAGTGATAAGCCAGATTTGTGCTCTTAATTCTACTGAGGAAATTCTAAAAATCTTAGGATCTTTTTCGTTAAATTCTTCCGTTCATTTAACCTCCTCCTAAGACTATGACGTGCCCAACACTTCTTGATTACATAGCTAGTTTTCTTATCCCAATTTTACTGAGTCAAAGTGCTTATGGGAATCCCGTTGGCTTCAACAAGGAAGAGAATTTCCATAACCAACTCCCCCTTTTCCAAGAAGAGAAAGACATTTCTAATTCAGGAGACAAAAAGCAACTGGCATCTTTGCAATGTGTGGGATTTTACATGGCATCTTCCCCTGGGCGCTACGAGTGAACCATGTGAAGCAACCAGTGCCAGCCCAGCTGTAGCAGGAGGAACAGCTGAATTTGGTAGAAGCCTCTCTGAACTGAAGCATCTGGCATCAGCTCCCTCCTGGGAATTCAGCCAAAATATCCCATCATTATGACAAGCGTGACAATCCAGAGACAATTCTGGAACAGAAGCACGCTGGTATGCGGCCACCTATTTCTGCCGGAATGCACAACACAGTAAACCCAAAGAGAGTTAAGAGACTAAAATGGACAAGGTTGGGGGGGGGGGTGCATACACGGCTTCAACACAGACACCACTTCCACGCCCTGCAACACACATATTCTCTGACTGTCACTCTCACACACACAGCAAGTCGAGCCCCAGTACGCATGACAACCTAAATAAAGGAAGATCCAGCATGAAGAAGCCCACATGATTTTGAATGGTGCAGGAAGCAAGCAAAGAAACAGCAGTTTAGCATATTTGCACATAAGCAACATATATGTATTGCTGTCAACGGCCTTAAGTGCTTATATATGCCTAGCAGCAAGGTACCTGTTTAATAATAAATAAATAAACCCCGTAAGGGAATGTGGATGTGATAAGCTTACAACGTTAACAGTCTGGTGATACAGAACAGCCTTCGCTTCCCATTTAAAATACAATAAGGAAGAAGCAAACCACAACTTCTCAAGAGGAAATGTCACAATCAAGAAGCTGTTATTAAAAAGCTCTTGTGTGCTCATCCACTTGATCTCTGGGGGCAGGATGTAAAGCAAGCCAACTAAAGTTTCTCATAAATTATGGTCACGTTTGGATAACGGTGCAAACTGGAAAGATTCGAGTTCAGATATCACAGGAATGTAAGCACCCTTCCACCCAAAGACCCATCAGCGCACGACTGTTTTCAGAGCATTGCGAAATGCAAATTCAACTAGCTGAACAGGATGTGTATATCTGGGTTTGGAAAATGCTGCTTGCCTTTTGAAGGAGGCAGCGATGCCCCGACTCCTGAAGAGGCACCCAGTCTCCGCCAAGTATAGAGTAAAGAGGCCTGCGCTAGTCAAATGTGGATCTCTAATCAAGAAGGTCTGTTTAAGCCTCCTATGGACCCAGCTAGTGGACTGTGCTCATGACAGTGAGCTATATTTGTGCAGACATGCTCAAGGACCTTATACAATAGAGCAACTCTTTCCATGAAAACTAAACCCATCAACCTTGAAAATTTACCCCCCCCCAAGGGGCTTCTCAGCATTTCTTTTCAGTAAAAATTCAACAACTCTAGCAGCCCCTCGCTCACTACGAACATAGCCCTGCAAATGATGCCAATGGCACTGACTCTGTGAGTGAGGAGCACAGGAGATTGGGACCGGTATCATGGAGGCGAAAGGATCAATATTTTACCGTCCAGGTGATGATCATATTAGTGGTTTCATTTCCTTCTCCTCTAACATCCTCTGGGTTTCGCTCAGGTGCTGGAAAACATAGAGACCAGAGTTACATTGGCACGTCTGTCTGTCTGTCTTGTAATAACCAATAGCAAGCGTCCACTTTGCCTCCCAGACTGAGAGGCAGCTATGCAACTGAGGGTAATACCAGAGTTCCTTCCTTCTAGACTGAAAACACTTAAACCAACAAACAGAATCTAAGAGCTCTGTATTTATTAGAATGAAGTTTAAGATCATCAGCAGATTATTCTAGCAAGCATCTTAATTTCAGATAATTCTCTCTCTCTCTCTCTCTCTCTCTCTCTCTCTC